GGCTGTTCAGGATCACCGAGAAACCGAAACCATTTCTCTGCGTGCGCATGCGCATGGCTGTCGAGTGACGTGTGGTATACATCAGATGGAGGTCGAGGGATCTTTCGGTAATCGGTTGGCGAGTCGAGATTGATGACATGCAGGCGATTCTTGAGAAGTTCGATGGCGGGGATGAATGACTCTCGCTGGACACCGTTCTTGTACAGCTCGTCAGGGTGTCTGTTGGAAGTTGTTACCAGGACTACGCCGTTTGCCATGAGAGATTCAAGCAGTCTGTATACAGTCAGCATTGAGCGCCTTTGTAGTAAGAAAGTGCACTCACCGTCGCAAAATCATTGCATCTGCTACATCTGTGCACTGGAATTCATCGAAACAGAGCACATTTGCCTGCTGAGCAATGTCGGCTGCGATATATGGTACCCCGTCTATATCGTTTCCATGCTCCATTTTGAATCTATGAAGTCGCTTATGTACATCTTGCATGAAGTTGTTGAAATGAATTCGACTTTTTGACTTGACAGATGGAGGCAGAGTTTCGTATAATAGATCCATCAACATGGTCTTGCCGCAACCCACATCACCATAGAGATACAAGCCTCTCGGAAGGTTGTTAGGAATATCCCCAGTAGCCAACCTACTGCCGCCTGCGCCAAAAAGCGACGAGAATATTGACTTCTTGGTGGGCTTGAGGGATTCGATGCTGGGATGCTGGACAGGCGGGGCGTCATATTTCTCCAATTCATGATATAGATTTTGGAAATTCTGGATGATCCCTTCTCTCTTGTCAGTACTTGCTTACGTTCCTGACTCGATTCTAACATCCTCACCTCTTTGATGCTCATCGTTTCGCAACCTGCCCGCCTGTACTCTTCTGTCATACTCTGGGATTGGGCCTCCGCCATGTATAGGTTCGGCATCGACTACTGTTGCCATCGATCGCGATCGATGTATACATGACGTCGATAAGTTGGCGCCTTGGATTGTGAGGGCTTGTTGTGTTTTGCGGTAATCTGAGCCTGTTCGCAAGGCCTGTGGTGTTGCGCTCGTCCGAAGCGCCCTCGCAAATCTGCCGCCATCCACCAACGGCCGCAACAATTGAGGATGGCGGACAGTGGCACTACACCTCAATGCGCCGCGCATTTTGATCGCATATATGTCGCAGGAATCGAGGCGGTTTCGTTTGCGATCGGTCGCTGGTGAGTTTACGGAAATAAGTTTGTAATATGAGAGTTAATCACGGAGGGGAGTTGCGAATCCGGTATTCAAGTGACGATAGTGTGGGCCGGGTTTAGAATTGGTTCCCGGTACTGGTATTCCATCCTTGACCCGAAGGCTACCGATATTCCCGGGTGTACTTTCAATTAAGAAGTTTTGCGTCAGTTTGCCGAGGCTCACTAACAAGCGTTACTTGGCGGCTTCCAAGAGCCTACCCTAGATGATCCGTTCAGATTTCGTTGGTCAGCTGTTCACAATTTCACATGATATATTGCCAATACTGTACAGAGCTCTGGATTCAAGCTTTTTTTCAGCTCTTCTAAACCCTATATTCGAGCGTGGTCATACAGTTGACGACCGGCCCGGTTGTTGTGATCTCGAGTTTTTTTTAACCAAGATGCCGATTCAACTCCGAGGGCAAAGCATCAGCAATTATCAATCCCAGCTAGCACGCAGAATTTGAACCCTTGGCTATGGATGTTACGAGAGAGTTCCAAACTTCTCTGACCATGACCCGGAGAATCATCTCCGACCAAGGTAAGTGACCTGACAGTGATGGCAAATAAGCATTCAAAACCCTCATATTGTTATTATAAGATTAGGGATTTGAAGCCTGCCGGGTGAGGGGGTTCGAACGGCTAAAAGACAATGTGCGTTGTGCATCGATCGAATACTCTGACCTAGTGATCAATTCATTGCCTGGTCGACACAAGCATCGATGTACAGGCTCACAGGTATTATGGTCTAGTTAATGATACATTCAAATTACTCCCGCTGTTTTAAACACAGTTCCCAGATGATTTCGTGAATATCATGTCACATCTCTCCAAACATCCTACCAACTAGGCTATAACAAAAGCAAGACCAATGGCAGCGACCAGACCAGCGAGAGGAGCACTGAGGACACCAGCAGCATTGTCGTCATTCTTTCCATCCTTGGACTTTCCGGAGCTGCTGTCGCCATCTGAATCAGCATCATCAGCGTCTACCAACTCGCCGCCAAATGGCTTCTTGCCAGGGTTGACTCCAGAGCTCAGCTCCGATGCGCGCTTCTTGTAGTCGGAGAGAGTCTTGTTGGAGTCGGCGTTGACGATACCAACCATACCCGAGGCGCATTCTTTACCCTGGGAGGAGTAGAAAGGCGTAGGGTCAGTGTCATTGACGGTGACCTTGAATATCTTGTCCTAAAGACCGTGTTAGATATCGCATATATGCCCGAGGAGTCGCAACTTACGGCGGATCCATCGTCAGTGGGAACGAAACCAGAGAAGAAGCCAGTGCCCATATCGAGAGGAGAGCAAGGATATCGGTAATCGCCAGCAACGACGCTGTGGTTCTTGGGCTCGAAGTGGAATTCGAGGACATCACCCTTCTCAGCCTCAACCTCCTCAGGGTCGAACTTGTCGTCGCTGGTAGCTGTGATCTTAATAGTCTTGGCGCTGGCCAGGTAAGCCAAGGTGGCTGAGGCGAACAGCGTTTTGACAGAAGGCATTCTCGGTGGTAAAGTTGTGCTGTAATACGTGAAACGTGGTGTTAGAGTACGAGCGAGTGAGGATTCAATGAAGAGGCAAGTTGGAGTTTATCAGTTTGCCAGAAGTTGACCGCTACGAGCAAGTTTATAAGAAAGATTCAACGTCAGGCCAAGAGTCGCCTGTTGCCCAGCAGCCCCTTCTATCAAGGCAGTTTTTCTGTGTCACTTCTGACATGGGCCAGCTGATACTCTGTTCTGATTGCCTAAAAGAGACGCCAAGACCAGGTTTTGGCCAAGGGGAGGTCAAGGAGACGCAGGGACTCTCCATCGCGAAGGATTCACTCGCTGGTGCCCTGAGGTTGGTTATTTGTTCCATCGAGAGCCCTGTTTACTTGTGCAACCCCAGCAACCAGAAGCACAAGGATTATGGCTTACCCTAGAGCTTCAATACAGCTTCATATCTGGATGATTGTCGAAGTCGACTTACAACATACTCGATTCATCAAGTTGACAGGGATTCCGGTTCTAGAACGTCTGTTGCAAGACAATAGTTTAATGGTGTCAAGAGAATGTTGCTTCAGTCTCGGACGGTATTTCAGACACATGCCATTAAACAAAGCTGTGGAACCTAGCTGAGACCATCAGCCTAGACCAAGATGAATGCTGCAAACGGATGAGATGGTGCATCTATCCTTGTTGCTGATCTCGTAAGGTAACATGGCTTCCATTCACCGCTCTACGCGTGTTCGCTTACAACGTAGTATGCTCATACGTGGGATGCGTGTTTCCCTTTCTGTAGCACAAAGGTATAACAAAGAACGCACTTTAGGTACACAGCTACATCTGCCCTGCAGGGCAAGCATCAAAGCCTTCTCATGACTCTGGTTACTTTTCAACGTCCGTTAGTGAAACGATGGTATGTGCATTAGTTAGTTGACAATGCAGGCACGTAGATATGTCATGGACGAAAACTGTAATCGTTCCATGACTTAAATCTTTTCCCATATAATAAAGCCTCTTTGCCCTAAGTAACGGTGCAATGTACTCTATACATTCTCCAGGTTGGTGTACTGACTGACTCAGCTGTTGGCCCATCTCCCGATATCACTTCCGGGGTCCCAGAATACCGGTGTTGAAAATCGGAATGCCCCACATCCATTCCGGGTCCGAGTGTCCAGCGGTCCGACAAAGAATTAACCTTCTCCGGTCGTTGGGTATTTTCGGAAGCTTTGGCCAAACCTGGCCGTAAATCCGAAACGAGTGGTCGGGGACTCGGTACCCTCGGCCGAGAATGACTAGCTCGGACAACGTAAGGGACGGATCCATCGACGCCAGTCTAGATCCCGGGAATTGAGGTTGGGGCTGAGCCGCATCTTTAACTTTGGCCCAATGTAATAATGAACGGACTTTTAGATCGACGTTATGATCTGCAAAGCAAATTGAGCCCTAAACATGATCGTGTTGTCGAACATGTGTCATCCCCAGGGACGCAAATGATACTGGGGTAATATCAGCAACTAGTCAAGTTGATGCAGGATTTTCAGTAATAGGAAAGAATCGACTATTGTGGCATGTCATCAAATTTCCCCAGTATCCCCACATACATACTCTGCGGCCTGAGGCTGAGCTGCAATGGCAAATCAAGGGGGTTAAGGATGAAGAAACATCGTTTCGCAGCATGCCTCGCGAGTCTCCTACCACATCTAGAAGAATCAATATTGTGATCCGCAAACAGCTAAGATATATGGTCTGGGTCTCGACCTTGTATAGACTGGGGCCAAGATTCTCACGTGAAACACGAACGACATGCGACTTTCGATTCAGCATCCAAAAGATCATACAGATAAAGTGATCAAGAGATCAAGCCACACACTAGCTGCTGTCACCGGCTATTGTACCTGGACAAGGCTATGGAGGCTATGGAGTCTTTAAACGTTTTAGCGGTTCATCCCTAGGGCATGCATGTCATCAATGGAATCTAGAACATCGTACTCACTATAGTGAGGAACAAAGATAGTAGTAGAACATAAGGCAATGTTCAACAAACAATGGGCTAGAACGTTGAAGAACACAACCATACACTACTGAACACCCAAAGCGATGGGAATATTGCTTGTTCCTAGCCGTGAATGAACTGAACAGTGCCGCGGACTTTCATGACTTGTTTCATTATCCAGAGTTTGTCTCTATGCCTAGAATTGCTAATTAGTAACCAATAGCCGAATATTACCAACCGCATCACACAACAACAAGAGTAGCACGACTGAATAGACAACAACACAATTAACGAGACGCACGCAAAAGCTCATAAACGATGTCTCCCAATCGCCAACAGCAGCCTCAAAAGAGGTACTTGAGAACCCGAGCCAGTAAACATTGCCTGGCTCCTCAACACCAGAAAACAAATGCATCACTAGCCTCTGGGTCATGGATGAAGGCCAAGATTCTACCGCGATTCTCATCATGGTTCCAGCCCCATCGACGATACGACCCGAAAGAGTCCTTCTTTCCATTCTCCAAGGTTAAATTCCTAATTGACTAACTAATAAAACTGAAATGTCAGATATGCTGTCAGGTGAACTGTCAGATCAAGTCAGATGCAGAGCCGCTTGACGAAAGTACATTTAGTCTAATGCCATGTGGTCATGCTGCTTGCTTGCAGTGCCTTGAAAAGTGGTTCGAGAATCAGGGCACTTGCCCCTTCTGCCGAGTCGATCTCATCTATCCCGGGTGTGGGCATAGAGTTCCAGTGAGACCCCTGACTAGGGAAGGACTTCATCTGCTACCAAGGACACTACCAGAGCAGGGCAGGATCCCGAATCTCTGTGCGAAGTGCCTCAAAGCAAGATTGTTGACTCAAGCAGAAGAAAAACTTGAACAAGCCATGGAGAGTTTTCGAGCAGCCATACTACGATTCCACCACACCAAAGCGCCCACTGACGAGGTAATTATGATGAATATGAGAGACGAGTTTGAGACAGTGCTCCGAGATGAGGTATACCTCAAACGGCTCAGCACGTGGTTGACAAGCTGGTAGGGTGTCATGATGCAGGGAGTCATGACTCGATCGATGATAGGTAGGGGTGAGATAGCCTTTGAGAGGCAACTAGTATCCGCGGAAATCGTAAAAGTACACGATACTTAGTCCGTAGCAATAGAAATTTCCTCAGCCTGCTCGAGTCAGAAAGTAAAGAATATACAGGGATAGGCAACGGCTGAAAGAAGCGGTATTGTGCAACCCAAGCTGCCACATGTTAGTTACATGTCTCTTAGGCATCATCAGCGAAGCTGCCATGGCACAACCACGTTTTCCCCCATAACCACCTGAATCGCGAATGTGACGTGGATGCTACGTATGCACATGCGTTGAAAAAATTCCCGAGGACTTGCAAGGACGGGCCGACAATTCAGCTGTCTAGGGACCTCATGGTGGTCGATCTGGTGCATAAGCTTGAGTCGGTACCGGGTTTCGCACCTAGTGTCCGTCCAAACTGACTCGACGACCTCTGATTGGGAGTGGCCTTTGGTTTTGATGGTGATGAATTGCTTCTTAGTTTTGTGATCCGAGCTTGGCGTTTCGGATGTTTTGCAGAATAGGGAAACAAAACAAAGAGCCGCAGGGAGGTTTATGGAGGGCTGAGTAATTTAGAGATGAGGGAGAATCGAAGGCAGCGCGCGGACAAGAAGGAGACTCCGAATAGGTAGTTGAAGTGGGATCTCCGGCGGGAAGAGGGGCACAGGGCAGACCCACTTTCAACGGCAGCTCCGTGACCGCGACGGGCAACAACGGGTCGGGACCATAGAAATCAGTGGAAATCAAGAGTCAAGGCAAGATTACCAAGATATTAGTGAGTGAGCCATTTCCGTGCTGCTAAAGATCTATTCACCATTAACCTCGCCAAGACTGCGTATGCTAAAGGATCAAACCTGATAATTTTCGAGTCAATGCTTCTCCTGTTTCTTGTTTCTGACCCATATTATTCCGTGCTTGCAGTTTCTCGGCCGGGTCGTCGGAGGACAATACAAGGATGGTAAGAGTTTCCCTTTTCCCCTTGTAAATGGATGTGACGCAGCTCGAATAATTTTTTATAGTCGGTCTGGAAACCGGATTGATGTCCGGTACACCCGCTACCACGACCGCGGCGCTGGGACTTATGCTTGTACGGCCTGCTGCACTCCCCATTGAAGCATGCAAGTGACACATCATATACGGTGAGAATAGCTAGACGTAACGACATTAGGCGAGAAGAATCTGTGTTATGTTACGAGTTCTAAAGATGTTGATGAAATGACTGCCGAGACATGGATGTGTATTTCGGCAAACTGAATTATTTCGGCCAACAATAGAGGCTTACCACCTATGCATTGTCAAGATTATACAGAGTCTGCTTTGTAGAAAGTTGTATGACCAAGGATTTCCCAGGGACCATAGTAATTTTGATCTGATACTTAAGATGTAACGGTTTTTTGATATTACCTATAGTGGCTAAGAGTTGTTGACAACTAACAGTTCTCGTAATTGTTTGTCTTGTTACCTAGTTTGTTCAACCTGACCGAACAGTTTTGCTAACCCTCAACGGTCGGCATTTGCCGAGGTGGGGACAGGGTCTGGACTTTAAGCCCCTCAGCCACATCTCGACGGAGTTCCAAACCCTTGGAACAGCCTTGGGCCTTCTTCCCTGGCGAAGATCGAGATTTGGGGGGGCTCACCCAAATTTGGGGAATAGCAGGCACATGACGATATCCTCGCCAGCCCAGCCCCAGGCCCGAGTTTATCGCGGTGGGTGCAAAACACAATGCGTCATATCGCGACATCGTCAAGTCATTTAGGCCCAGCCAACTCAATCATAGCATCCAATCTCAATCAGTAGGTACCTAGTCCATTGATGAGCAATGCGCTCTCCTCCGTCCCGGACTGCGTTGTACAGATGTCCCTGTCCTGCTGGACTTACCTAGCTTGGCTGTTGCTTCCACCCAAACAAATGACTGCTCAGATGCTTTCTTCTTTCATACGAATCAATTGGGATAGCTAAAATTCCCAGCATGTTACATCGCATAGACGTGCCTATTACAGTATGATTATGATCCGCTTGGTTCGTTCTAGGCTCGCGATCTGTCTCCCTTGATTGATCCCAGCCCTTTCGACACTGCCATGCGTTCTCTGTACTGTGCAATACGGACCTCGAGCTGTGGTTGGGCTGCCTCTGTTTTAGTGTTGCCATTCGAATTTGCATCACCGCCTATTGCTCTCATTCTCGACCGTTGGGGTACCAGTTATACGCCGTGGGATCTAACTGCGGTCTCATAACAGCACTGGCTATAGTGTTGAGCCACCAGACAACGCCTTGATAAACGGCTAGACGATACGTACTTTCTCCATTTGTTTGATGGATCTGCTTTTTGGAGACCGGCATTGTCGTTCCATTTTCGGTTCCCTAGACATGAGCGACCGTGCATTGCTAGCGGCATCCATGGCTTCACATCCTGATTCCCTAACGCTCCCCAGAACGCCCTTGTTCTATTTCGAAAAAAGAAAAGAACGGCACCTGGCAACACCTCCAACAAAGCTTAGCCTTGAATGGTAGCTGGGGAATGGTGTCACCCTAGGGGTCTTGGTTCCCACGGCTCTTCTTAGATTTCCTAGGTGAAAGGAGATGTCTGTCAGCAGACTAATTTCAAGATGCTAGCCTCTACGACCACAGGTAACCTTGGAAGGAAAGAGGCGTCTAGACACGATCGCAGAACATATGGAGGATGCGAGTCTAATGCCTCTCCGCCGCTGGAACAGACGTAATTCTGTGCCCTCCGCTCTGTTGATTTGGGAGGGCTTGATACTTTCATATCCTCGAGTTCTCAGCGACTGAATTTCAAGGATGCGTGTTTATGAGCGCGTGGCTCAGCAAATGATCTCCGTACAGCGTACCCTGTCTGTCTGACTTACACCCACCTTATCGCCACAAGGGGGCAATAACGGCTCACGCCAGCCCGTCTTTTTCTGCAGCGAGGTTCGAAAGTGGGTGTGATGTGCCATTTGTTAGCCATACCCTCGGAGCCGCTCTTCTCACAATCACTGAATCATGTCGTCGTCGACGGGTTTATGCCCAACCAAAGGATGATGCCCATTCACCGAATCACTAACATCGGTTTTGGGTCCTGGCCCCTCTGCCGTCCAGGCCTCCGTCATTTCAGCTGCAACTCCGCTTTCCGTGAACTCAAAATCTTCTCAGCCACTACCTCCGAGGGACAGGATCCCTGGAAACATTGCCAGTTCTCAGACACCTATTTGCTGTGCGGCAACACTTCCCGTTCAATTAATTGCAGCTTGGCACAGCTGCTAGGTGGTGGTTTCATGGCTTTCGATACAGTTTCTCACATCCCCAAGTCTCATATCCTGTCGGGCCCGCCTGGAGTATGTGTATATGGCTTGCTAGTGAGACACCTATCTTCTGTTTCCTTTAACCCCCCTTGACTGCGCAATGTGATCTCAACTTCACTCGCCTCCGAGAAAGGCAAGAAGATATTGGACGGAGCTTGTGAAGGAACAATTCGAAAGTCGCGGTGTCAGCGTTCAAGTGTGGCTTGTTACCATTTTCCACATATCGAGTTGGTGGCGCGCTGCTCGCTCGCCCGGTTCATGGATCTCTTGCTACTGAGTTGGCCGGCTCTTTGTCTTTTGCAGATTGCAATGCACCAGGGTTGCAGCTAGCTCATGACTGTTGCTTGTAGCGCAGCCCTGCAGCATATTCCCAGCATAACCGGCTGCCACTTGCATCGACTGGTCTCGTTGTCCCGCGCCGGCCCAGTGGTCCTCGTCCCAATAGGGCTGCCCCGTCCGTTGATGGGGTTCTCCGGGCCCTGGATCTCTAGAGGCACAGGTATCTGATACTTCCTTCAGACTGTAGTATAGAAGCCCCCAATACCTCTTTCTCTCCTTTCGCCGTCTTCTAAAGAAACACTTGCCGCTGTGGCTGACCTTCCCATGTGGCGGACCCTCTCGTGAGCTTATCGTCTTAAGTCTTCATAAATACCCTGGTATATGTCACCGGTGGTGCCCCATCCATCCTTTCAATAAAAGGGAAAGCGTCATCTATTAGACCTGGGTTGTTTTTCATCAGGACTGCTCCAGCTTCGTTCAACTTGAGCTCCTGCACATTATCTTTTGTGCCTTTCGTTGATCCTCATCAGGGTTGGTTGACCAACACCACGGCGCTGTCGCAAGAGGTTGTTAGAGATTCGCGATCTGGCCTCGATGCCGAGCTCTTGTCGCATATTGACAACGCCTGTCCCGTCAAGTTATAAAACGACTAAATGTCAACGCCGGCAGTACGTGGCCCGTTCCTCTGTCCATATCCATTCCTCTTCGATCCATGTTCCTAATGTTGACACCTCCTTGTCTATAGCAAAAAGCAAACCTTGCCCGGATTAGAGATAATCAGAGGAGATCCCGGGCCCGCAGAAGAGAGTATCTCCAAGAGCTCGAGCAACGACTCCGAGTGTATGAGTTGCAGGGCGTCGAGGCGTCCTCAGAGGTGCAACATGCTGCGCGGAGGGTTGCAGAAGAGAATAGACAACTCCGTGGTCTTCTCAACCGACATGGAATCAGCGATGATTACATTACTAGTTACTTGCACTCGGGAACAGCGTCGCAAACCGGTCCGACTGCAATATCGCACTTCACCCCCAACACTCACAGCGATAGCGTCCAATCTCTTCAGCAGGTTATAGCACCCCGGAGACCTACAGCTCTCGAGACTGGCGTATCCTATGGCCTTCCTCCGCAAGAAAGCCGTGAGCCATCTATCGCAAGTGGATCTACAAGCAGTTCTTCCATATGGGAATCTGGCCAAGCTATCCAGCCAGGTTCAGCATACGCCCGGCCACTTCCTTCCAACGTCCCTACACCAGTACCGAGGCAATCGATAACTTCATCGATGCATCCCCAGCATTACACCTCTCAAATGTTCCCTGATCCCCAAGTTTCACGGACCGAAAGCTACCACACTATCGCTACCCCTGGATCTTTGATGGATGATCCTCGGCGACACAGCTACTCTGTGGCACCCATGCCTGGGGATGTCTCGTCAACGATGGGCTACAGCATTCCCATGAATTCCTTTCACAACCCTGTCGGACAAGATGGTGGCCCTCCAGGACCGTGTTGACTGGATGGCCAACCAGCAGAGAGCTTTTGTCCGACCCAATGGACTTCGTTGCGCCCGGTGGCCTCAAAATCCTCTGCTATCCACATCAAACAGGCATCGACAAGTAGCTTCGCGTTGATGCAATTTGCGTGAAGTTCAAGGGGATTCGATACAGCCGCTGCGCATAAGCTCCTTCGACCTATCGATAGACTTGACCTCGCATTTCGGCGGCGACGTACATTTCCCCACAAATCGATATGGGTTTCCTGTCGGTCACCTGTCTTGTCGAAATACCCAATATTATCCGAGTTGGTATAAGGGTGTTCCACCTCGTGCCATGGCGAAGTTGGTGATGAAATGCAGCCTGGGAGGAACCTATGAGTGAACAAACAGGAAACCCAGCGGCAAAGCCGAGCTCGACCACGCGATGATGTTCCTGTAGCTTTGTCCTCTACAGACAAAGATCTTATTGTTGGGCTGTCTTGCAGAATTCTTGGAACATAAAGCAGAAGTCGAACATCGACATCGATAAAACGAACAACGAACCCGAAGGAATAATAGGGTCTTTCATCAAGTCTCAAAGAACGATTGTTAATAGGGCGTTAAGGATAGGAGATACCAACACATGCCATTTCTCGTATCGAATATTAATCAAGTATTACCCCGAACCGGCCGTTGTACGATACTTCACTTCAACATTCGCAAACTTGATACCATCTACGAATTCACAAGTTGACAACTAAACATCTATGGCGATGTCTTCTGCCAATCTGGAAAGACCAATAAGAACAAGGAGGGAAGAGCTTGACCAGATCTTATCAGCTTCACCACCTGACGAACAGGCACTCGAACAATCTACTGAGGACATCTCTAACACTCTGCGTTGTGTGGGACATATGTCGCATCAAACCTATAAAATCCCTTTCCGATCCGGGCGCAATGCTTTCACAAACATCCCAAACCCCTCACTAGTGAATGATCACATAACTGTGAGTGAACATCCAAGCGATAGAAGACTGAGCATCCCGTTGACTTGTCCAGTTGAGGGCATACCGCACATCAAACTCTCGGTTCCAACCCTAGGCTTATCCACTGTTGAAGCAGATCACAAAGTATCAAAGAAGGATCAAAGCAAGCTACATCCAACATGGGTGAGCAAGCCAAAAAGAGGAAGCACCAGGAAGTCACAGCAGAAACCGGAAGTCATGATTCGTGTGACACAGGCAAAAATACCACATCAAGATGGTCAGAATGGTTCGGAATCATGTCCATCATTCGGAATCGTGTCCATCGAAAAAGACTCAAGCCCTGTATTTCATGGCACCAGAAAGAGGAAGAGAGAAGAAGGCGACTTTCTTCGGCCTGCGGCGAAACCTGCGGCGAAACCTGCGGCGAAACCTGCGGCGAAACGCCTTCAATCCTGAGGCCGAGACTTGGTGGTGGCGAAGAAAAAACTTTGTTTAGATATGGTACGGCACCAGAACATACGCTGAATGAGGTAAAAGAATCCGCTGACATTTGTCATAAGTATGCATACAACTTCGACCAGACGCTTGATAGTTTCAGTTCGAAGACAGCTTCAGAAACAACAAAGGCTCCGGATTTCCTTGAACCCGCTATATCAAACGATTTGAACACAGATAGCGTGTTTAGCATTGACGAGGTCAATGCTGCCGTCGCTATCCTTACCCTCATCTCTGACATTTGCAGATATGGTGAAAGGCTGTCTACTGAGGACCAAGCCATACTGCGTAACGCCTTGAAAAGGATGCCATACCTCTTGACGTCTATAGGACGACAAAGGAAACCCGAACAGGCACTCATGTTTCAGATAAAGGTCTACGAAAACCCCGAATCCGCAAGCTGGGGGACTATTGAAAGCTTCGACACTTTGCAAGTTATGTTGGAATTGCTGGAGAGGTTTGACAGCTTTGCGGAGCTGTATCCAAGAGAGGGACCAGGAGGTATTTTTATAGCATGAGCTGGCTTGTTGCATGGATTTAGCGGCCCCGAAGTAGATTGGGTCTGATCGAACTGCATTGCGTCGGTTATCAAGCATTTAAGAGGCGTACCATGACAATACCCCTTGACTCAGGTAGTATATAATGAATTTTGAGTATTATCGAACTCCATGCCCTGTCCGTAACCCCAAACCCTAGTTAATACCGTGATACAAAGCCACCTTTGTGGCCGGTAGATATGAAAATAATAGACAATGACAAAATAGATGATCACAAGAAGTAATCAGCGACTGGCTTTTTGGCAGGCATTCCTCGCGAATCTTGTGGTGCAGCTTGGAAAACCCTGTATCGCCGCGCAGGACCGCTCCTAGGAGGCATACCGCCCTCCATCATGACTCCAGTACCGCCATCGCTTCTGCCAACATCACCATTGCTACGGGCGAAGAGACCCGTACCAGACTCATCCTCAGAGAGTTCTAAAACCGCAGCAACATTGCCACAGCGGTAGCAGTAGTTCGGAGCAGACCACACGGTTACGATAGAAGCGTCGAACATTTCCTTGAATCCCTCCATGACGAGCTGGTGTGCGCGGGCAATGAGGCTCAGGTCGTTGCGATGGTTGAAGACCTTGACGATATCAGCTCCAAAAAGGAAGCCTGCGCCTCGTGGGGAAAGACCCCAGCCGTCAATTTCATCTGGGTCGGACCAGAGTAGATCGCACATGGCACCTTCATGAGGGACTTCCTGTTTGCGGTCTATCAAGCGAATCTTGTCAACTGTATCGACCAATGGACTCAAACCGCCATGAACACAGAGTACTGCTCCGGCTGGATTTCCCACAGAGCCACCGCTTGACCCTGAAGCGCCCGACCCTGGGGGGCCTGTCTTGTCCATTGCTGTCCCACCTGGGCTTTGGATCTGATCTTGCGAGCTATCGTCTGGCCGACGTCGGGGAAAACGGCTCATTATAGAGCCATTCTGGTCGCAAACCTCAATCTCAGTTTCGTCATCGACAGGTTCGACCCCAGGCGACATGGTGTTGGAGGCGCCCAGGACGATCGCGCCAAGCGCCAGGTAATCAAAGATGTCGCAACAGTAACGCCAAACGTTAGCACTGCCGTACTTTCTTATGCACTCATCGTAAAAGCCGTAAACTGTGGTAATTTGACGGGATTCGTGGTTGCCGCGAATTAGCGTCATTCTATCGGGGTATCGAACTTTTAGGCAGAGCAAAAGGAGGAATGATTCCAGTGAATAGAAGCCGCGATCGACGAAGTCGCCTAGGAATTTTGATTAGAGGTACGAACATTTGCTGGATATGATGAAAGACTGGTCTTACCCATGAATAGGTAATTTGTATCCGGAACATCGCCCCCTACTCGAAAGAGCTCCATCAAATCGTGGAATTGGCCATGAATGTCACCACATATCTAATAAGAACATCAGCGATTGCTGAGCCTTCATTAGGGCATGAGGCATACTGTTACTGGTGCCGTTACAGTGACGACGTTACCCTCTTCTATTAAAAGTTCCCGAGCTTTATGGCAGAGCTCGCGGACTTGCGCTTCCGGAATCGGTCGGCATGCGCGCAGCTGCGCAATGGCCCTGAGAATGAGTTATTAGCTCAAAAATTCGAAGACCAGCGGTCGGGCGTTCAGCCTCACTTGTCGAGGTCGCTCATCGTGAAAGGGTAGAGTTGGTGGGTTGGCACGTGGGGATATGCGCGCCGCTAATCTTTAAATCCTAAACCGTATCGAAGCAAATGATCATAACATATCGTAAGTAATCGGGGGTTTTCATGCGATGCGATGCGATGCGATGCGATGCGATGTGATTTAAGCTGAACGCGGGGATGACTTGAAAGCTGATCGCGCGTGTTGGTTGTAGTTGGGGATTTGGAGATTTCGCGATTCGTGGTGTTGAGTGACGCTCTTCGTCTCGTCGGGTGGAGACGCTCTACTGCCCCGCCAATGAAGAAGTATTAGAGGTCGGGCTTACATAGAGCCGAGGCCGAAACAATCCCCTTCCGCCGGTAGCCAATGAGAACCACATCATAACTCAGGTTTGGGTGAGCCTTTATGAATTCTGGATCACCACCACAAATCGCTCGATACTGTCGGCAACGTTGACCTGGTCAATGCTTGTCTGGAGGATGATGCTACAGTTGTCATGTGAGTTCAATGGCATCTGGAACCCATTGAAACACCTGCTGACGACCAATTGAGACTTTTAGAGTCCACACTTCACCAAACGACCTCCGGACCTAGCCAGGATCATGCCACCACTCCTTCACCCGAAATCGCGAATGACATCGTCACTTTTCGCAACGACAGTCGCCGCATGCTTTATAGTCGTCACAATCCCACATTTGCTTCCTTGCCCCGTACCCCGGGCCCGCTTCGCCGATGGAGATGTTATGGTCGACGAGAATGGCCGACGAATGAGATGGAAGAAGAAGGACGCCAACCCCAAAGTCGAAGATGGGATTGTTCAATTTAACGATGTGGCAAGCGACGAGACAGAGGACGCACAAGACAGAGCAAGGAGGGAATGCCCATTGCCGAAGCCGGGAGGAATGCTGGGCGAGTGGTTGGGATTTCACAAGAGCGATAAGGAGGCTGGACGATGACCGGCAAAGAATGATTTGAATGATCTCAAACATGCATATCGAGCGTGTTTGCTCCTTTGGTACATACCCGGATGCTTGAATGGCACCCAGAGCGGTTCCCATGGGTTCAGTCAAGCTGAAATGAACTCCGCTATGATGCTACAAAACATGGGGAAACTATCGAAGCGAATCGATAGAAGAGTGCAGTTTCTGGAGAACGGGAGTGACTATCGCTGAATAATGATATTCGTCCTTGAATCCCAGGCTCTAGAGGACAACCTTTGTTGAAACATACCTTAGCTGTACTATTAGGTATGTTTACCCAGAAGCTATAAATTAGAAATGGTGGGGGGGAAGCTTTGAAATAACAATTAGCTAAAATTAGGTACCCAAGTTAAACTGCATCATTTTTATCAGATAGGCAGAATGTGTGACTTGATTTGGACGATAATTGTGCATGACAGTGAAGCCGGGATTAACACCTGCTAGTTGAAGATGGGTTCTTTAAGGTCTGATTGGCTACATTTCTATTTTACGTTTCAACCTCGAGGATAATACTCGAGGTGTCGATTTTGCTCAAGGATGTACTGTTGAAGAACACACATCTATATATCTTAGTAGGTAAGGTAAGGTAAGGTATCTTGGAAAGAAAGTCGCTACAATAGAGATGATTCTATGAAGTCTAGAAAGTATAGTCCAGAGCCACAATTCGCGCAAATCAATAATAGTAGTGAAGAAGCTCTGGTATCAAGTGTAAGAGATATCCCAGAATAGCCCGCTCTTTGGTGGTAGCAGAATACGTTAGTCTGGACCTAACACCTGTGTGGGGTTGAATCAAGGTTGAGGGACGATCGGAGAATTGAAGATGGTGACAAGCGGCAAGTGAAGTTTATCTTCACTGCAGCCTTTTGATGAAACCTGATTTGACGCCATGGGCACAAGTTTTCTTCGAAAATTTTGAAAAACTTATTGGTATGATAGGTACTTAAGTATCTGGTTCGTGTAATTATGGGAACATGGGATTGTGTCGCGTGATATGTGATATCCTGACATTGATCAAACGTTGAGATTTATTCGCGTATCCGTATCAAAATCAAGTCTGGCACAGGGACCCTGTTGATCTGTGCCTGGAGCTTGTCAACAAAGGATCTGCGTTGCTGCAAGGAGGCAGCCAGAAGGCATGCAAACGAGAACTAGGCTTTCTGGGCACCACTGGGGTTGATAGGCTGGTTGGCAAGGGTATCATGCGAGGATGACAGACAATGGTTACAATAACGTCGGATACGGGGAAACCGGCCACCCCCGGAAACCGGCCACCCTTCCTCACTAAAACACTAAACTTTTAAATAGCTATAAAAGCCTCTAGATTAATAATATAATTTTTTTTTCTAATTTTATTTATATATTTAAATAGCTATTATATAATAAAAAAAATACTATATAATTATATTAAGTATTATTAAAAAGATATAATTATTTAAAATTTAATAATTAAATTTATTAAAGAATTACTAGTATTTATTAAGAAAATCTTAACTAATTATAAATATTTATAAAAAATATAAGGAAAATAGCTATTAAGCTCTAGTTTTAAAATTAGTAATATTAAAATTTTAAAATATTTAAATTATATTTTTAATACTTAATATTAATAAGCCTTATTTATATATTTATAATATTAAGGTTTTTTTTTTTAATATTATCTTTTTATAATTATAAGTATTAAATAAAATTATAAAAAATAAATAATTTAAATTTATTATTATATTTTAATTAATAAATTAACTTAAAAAGGTTAAATTATATAAATAAGTTTTTTTTTTAATTATAAATTAAATTTTAAAATAATAATAATATTTTTATTATATATTTTATAAATTATCTTAAAGAATTTTTATAAATATTATAAAAAATTATATTAAATTACTTATTTTAATATAAAAAATTATAAGTTTAAAAGTATTTTAATATATTTAAATTATTTTTATAATATTTTTATTTAATTTAATATTAATATTTAAATATTCTTTAATTCTTAATATTTAAGTTTTATATATATTTATATTATATATTAAATATTATTAAAATATAATAAAATAAAATTTTATATAAATATTCTTATATAAAAACTATATAATAGTTACTTATAGATCTTAAATAAGGCTATATAGGATAAGCTATTAAATATTTTAATTTTATTATCTATTAGTGCAGGGTGGCCGGTTTCCGGGGGTGGCCGGTTTCCCCGTATCTGACGTTACTTAATATAATAGGGAACATGGCCTAGACTGCAATGAACCATCTAAAATGTACAGTATAATGACCGAGGATGATGGATCGTTTGGCCTCGATGATTTCATTATACAGAAATGCATGCATCCATGAAGAACAAAGCAAGAAACGTGCAAGCGACCTGGAAGCGACCTGGAAGCGGCCTTGGCAGCCTATGACGCTCTAGCGCTTCCAGAGCTCAGCAGGTAATCTCATCCGCTAACGGTCAATGGATGACGCTGTGGGGAGACCTGACCCAGCCCGCACAGACCATGCCATGAGCGCGTCGAAACGCCCGTCAAAAGCCTAAGGACGGGGATCTCCAATCTCTAATTTCCCAGTCTATTTCGCTACCTTACGTTCCAACTATTGTGTTTTTTTGCTGTGTCGTGTGTGTTTTTGTGTTCATTACATTTTCTTGAACCCCAACCGTTGACGGTCATCAAATCTCTTTTTTTTTTATTTTATTTTAGCTACCTTCTATTTTATGGTTTTCCTCTGCAAAACACAATAGGCTCGGCTTCCAACTCAACCTACGTGTTCGCCGGCTCAGCCGCGCTTTAACAAATCGACTGCCATGCCAGTTTGTCCTGGGTACGCTCTGCGATCGCACTCGCCGGCTTCAATATCCGGCTGAAGACATAAATATCGCGATCATTGGCTTCTTCGCCGCCGCCGCCGCTGATTCAAGTCATGACTTCTCCCTCTCCTCCACGAACTGGCACTGGCACTGGCACCTATCACGACTCCCCACGGACCTATGATTCTGGTCGTACTTTGAGCAGCTCTGTCGCGGGAAGATCTGCCCGTCTACGCCCTCCTCGATCCCTCCCACGTAAGCGATTATAGCACTTCATCTCTTGACTTCTTAACTAACCCAAAAAAAATAGCCTGGATCGATTCATGGGACGACAAACATGGTTCAGTAAGCGACGACCAACTGCGGCTCCTCCGGCCTCCCACTCGCGCTGTGCCACCACAACATAACTCGTCACCAAGTGACCCTCAAAGACGAATCTCGAAAGATGGCTTCGTCGATCCACAAGATCCTCTCGTTGGTCAAGGCCAGGAAACGAGAGGCAAGATCCCCCATTTTATGCGCTACGGTCGCGCCTCGATGCGTGGCAGGAAATGGGATCATTTGAGATCCGCAGAACCCGTTATTGTGCCAGGACATAAACCAGCATTAACCTCGCAGCCGAACATAGCATGGCAAGACTTTGTCCAATCTTCGTCATGGGGTCGCATGACTAACGAGGACTCGAAAGTGATGGATGTTGAGGCTCTAAACCACCTACAACCAAATTTCAACACACCAGCCCGCCATCCTTACAATGCACAAGAAGCCAGGATCTCACGGAAGAAGAGGACGCTAGCTCCGTACAAACGTTTATGGAATATAGCTATTCGGCACTCTCTTGCTCCTCTAATGTTTAGATTGAGCGTCATGGTCACCTCAATTATTGCCCTTGCTATTGCGGCGCGGATCCACCTGCTTGAAGACGTTGATAGCACAGATTCAGCTGAGGAGACACAGTCCATCGTTGCCGTGGCCGTAGACTGCGTTGCTATTCCATACATTGGTTATATGATCTGGGATGAGTACACAGGAAAGCCTTTGGGTTTAAGGTCTGTTGTCTCCAAGATCTCTCTCATCTTGCTAGACCTCTTTTTCATTATCTTTAAGTCGGCAAGCACAGCACTTGCGTTCGAAAGCCTTGTCTATCATAACTTGTCTGATACAGCAGTCAAGAGCTTGTCTAAGGCGCTGGCAGCATTCATGCTCATGGGATTGATTGCTTGGACGATGAACTTTGCAGTCAACATATTCCGGACAGTGGAGCGCCTGGGAGGAGGTGAAGATGATGGGCTGCATGGTTAGGAAAGGAAGTGAGAGAAGGACTGGAGCAACGGACTTGGTTTGGAAATTTTAGGATACCCCTTTGAGCAGGGAGTGCTTATGGCGACTTGTTGGATTATATGGGACATTGATATCACGGTAGACCGTGCTTAGCGTTCATTGCTGCTCTCTTTTTCCTTTATTAGTATTACAGGCTACCTATCACACATGCCGTGCTAAACATGCATGTTTCTTTGCATTCAGGAACAACATTTGGCATGGGGAGGAATCAAACGAATAAAACTCAATAATACGTCTCCTTGCTGGAATGTGCAGTAATGTTTTTATTTATCGAGTTGGTATCTCCCATTCAGTTCAACCACTGCCTAGTAGATGCATTGTGTCATTTAGCATTCGTTACTGTGTGCGTTCATGTGTAGACTATGGGGCCTCAGGAAGAAGGTAATTACCAGGGTAGGTAGGCCTATCCGTACCTACCTACTACCTACTTCATGCTTCAACTGGGAGGCTTCCACAGTCCCTAACCTTAGTACCTACTCCACCCCTGTTTATTGGAGACAACCCGGCCATCAGCCTAGGGCGGTATGGAGCGGCAGATCCCGACGCTAAGCCCTTTACAGCGAGTTCTTGCGCCTGGCCTTGCCTCAGCCAACGCCTTGTCATATTCAGTCCCAGCTACTGCGGTCTGGCCTTGACTGCCTGATCCTCTCCCGTCCTGTGCATTTATTGACTGTCAAGAATCACTTGATGGGTGTTTCCCTTTTTTCTTTTCTCTTTCTCACACTCTCTCTTATGACTCATATGTCTAGGATGATTTAAGTTTATGGACTGCATTTTGCCTTACCACAAAAAGCACAAACCCGACCGACCAACTATTACTGTCCATCCGAAGCCGCCTCTTTGCTCGACCTTGCTCTCACTCGTGCCCGAGTAGCTCAACACTAGCCTCGACAACATCCCCTCGAGCGTCGGTCCTAATCGTCATCTTCATCATCGCGTCGCATATTTGCGCTTCGGTTACAGCTCTATAGGGTTTACTCCTCCTGGGCAAATCGACCTTTATCGACTCTGACGACATCGCGTCGAGCCCCTCGAGACTGACCCCGCCTCCATCACCAGTACCTCCGTTGAACCGCCATCCATCTTCGCTTTTCAGCCCACCATGGCCGCAAAGATGAGTGCCCCGAGTCAGATGCCACCGATACCTAATAGAGAGGATATTGGGGCAACGTGAGTAGCCTTATGCATGTTTAGATTATCAAGACTGACTTGAATAGATGGACCTATCTGCAAGCTGGTATCTCACGCGTCATGAACGATCTCGAGCAGGGTATCGACATGCAAATGTACATGGGCGTCTACACGTCAGTCATCTTCACCAAACTTAGTATATCAGAAGAGTCTACTGACTTGTCACAGCGCTGTCCATAATTTCTGTACGTCACAAAAGGCAGTTGGTATGACTGGCCCTGCCATGCATAGTAACCACAGAGGGGGTAAGCCATTCTTAGACATGCATTTACGGCCTGTCAAGCTAACTGCTCAATAGCACACTTGCTAGGGGAAGAACTCTACAACAAGCTCATCGATTACCTCCAGCATCATCTCGAGAGCCTTGTGAATCAAAGCAAGGCGCACACCGACGAAGCGCTGCTCGCTTTCTACATCAAAGAATGGGGGCGTTACACAGTTGCCGCCAAGTATATCCACCATCTCTTCCGTTATCTCAACAGACACTGGGTCAAGCGAGAAATCGATGAAGGAAAAAAGAATATCTACGATGTCTATACCCTGCATCTTGTGCAATGGAGGAAGGAGCTCTTCGAAAAGGTCAGTGACAAGGTCATGGATGCGGTGCTTAAGCTTGTGGAGAAGCAAAGGAACGGCGAGACCATCGAGCATGGCCAAATCAAGCAAGTCGTGGACTCCTTTGTCTCTCTGGGACTGGATGAAGCAGACCCCTCCAAGTCAACCCTCGATGTCTACCGCTATCACTTCGAACGTCCTTTCCTCACTGCTACCAAAGAGTTCTACGTGGCTGAGTCCAAGCAATTTGTTGCCGAGAATAGCGTCGTGGAATACATGAAGAAGGCAGAGGCTCGCTTGTCTGAGGAGGAGGAACGCGTGCGCATGTACCTGCACCAAGACATCGCCATTCCTCTCAAGAAGACTTGCAATCAAGCTCTCATCGCCGATCACTCAAGTCTCCTTCGGGATGAGTTCCAGGTACTTCTTGACAACGACCGTGAAGAGGATATGGCACGAATGTATAACCTTCTTTCGAGAATCCCCGATGGCCTCGAACCGCTTAGAGCCCGTTTTGAGACGCATGTGAGAAAGGCAGGCCTTGCTGCTGTACAGAAGGTCCAATCATCGGAGGGTGATAAGCTCGAACCAAAGGTATATGTCGACGCTCTCCTCGAAATCCATACCCAGTACCAGGGCCTTGTGAAGAGAGCATTCAATGATGAGCCAGAGTTTACACGTTCTCTTGATAACGCCTGTAGGGAGTTCGTCAATCGGAACGAAGTCTGCAAGGCAGGATCCAACAAATCGCCCGAACTTCTGGCTAAATACACTGATGTCTTGCTAAGAAAGAGCAGCACTAGTATTGAGGAGGCAGAATTGGAACGTACTTTGAGTCAGATTATGACCGTGTTTAAGTACATTGAGGACAAGGATGTCTTTCAGAAGTTTTATTCGCGGATGCTCGCCCGACGTTTGGTGCATAGCAACTCCTCTTCAGATGACGCTGAGACTAGCATGATCAGCAAACTTAAAGAGGCGTGCGGTTTCGAATACACGAACAAACTCCAGCGCATGTTCCAGGATATGCAAATCTCTAAGGACTTGAATAAGGATTTCCGCGAGCATCTTGAAGGCGTTGAATACACCAAGGCCGTTGATTCAACATTCTCTATTCTTGGAACCGGATTCTGGCCATTGACGGCACCAAGTACTGACTTCAGCCCACCTCCCGAGATTGCGGCCGAGATCGAGCGCTTCATCCGCTTCTACAAGCACAAGCATGACGGACGTAAGCTCACGTGGTTGTGGCATCTTTGCAAGGGTGAGATCAAGGCTGGCTATTGCAAGGCCAGCAAGACTCCGTATACCTTCCAGGTCTCAATTTACCAGATGGCCATTCTCCTTCTTTTCAATGAGAAGGACACATACAGCTACGAGGATATGCTCAGCGCCACCCAACTGAGCAAGGAGGTACTGGATCAGGCCCTCGCTGTTATCCTGAAGGCCAAGGTGCTTATCATGTCTGGCGCGGCCGGTGAGAAGCCAGGAGCCGGTAAAACCTTCAAACTAAACTACGACTTCAAGAGCAAAAAGATCAGAGTGAACCTGAACCTCGGCGGTGTGAAGGAAGCAAAGCAGGAGGAGGCCGAGACAAACAAGACAATTGAGGAAGATCGAAAACTTGTCCTCCAGGTATGTATATCTCTTTTATTTGTCAGGATTCATACTAACTATAACGCAGTCTGCCATCGTTCGAATCATGAAGGCCCGCAAGAAGATGAAGCACACCCAGCTCGTGAGCGAGACGATCAACCAAATCCGCTCGCGTTTTGTTCCAAAGGTCGGCGATATCAAAAAATGCATCGAAATCCTACTAGACAAGGAGTATCTGGAGCGTTTGGAAGACGACGAGCTAGGTTACCTAGCTTAAACCCCCTACCTAAGTGGTATTGGTTCGAGGTCAAGTCGGAGAGCTTCATCCCAGCCTATGTATTTCGCGGTTATCAAGCCCGATTTATTATGTATTTCCTGAGAGCATAAATATCCGGGCCGGGGCTTTCGGCGGTTATGAGCGTATCTACTTTCTTAATTCCTTCAGCGACTGGTAAGAGAGTCTGACAGCAGACATGATGAGAAATGGGGCTTGGTAAACAATAGATGATCAGCAATTTGAGCACGCGGCTACCTCTCCCTTGACCCTGCCTAGGTTTCTTTCTATGTGTTCCTTGACTTATTTATTCTCTGTGTTTTGGGTCTTGATGGTTTGGTACCTTGGGCGGGGAGAAACTGGTTTGCAAAGGAAGAATAAGTTGGCTTGGGATCAGGGACTGACTGATTGCAAAAAGGGCTCTGTAGAAATGGACTGCTTCAAATAAAGAAAAAGGTCTTACGGACATGACATGAAAACAGTACTTATAAAGGACTTATTTAGAGTAAAACTATTAGCCATTTCGATCTTTCTATGCTGTAATATTGCATGGCTCGTTCAATATTAATTACAAACTATAGCAGGCTACAATGGGTGATATATACATAATGTGGCTAAAATCACCCGCTTTGATTACCATGTCTTTATATTCATGAAGCGGCCGTCCATAGCCCCTGTTTCCCTAGGCTTTCTCTGTATACTTATCATTCTTTAGTCGTTGCACCTTTTTCGTCGTGAGGAGGGCCCACGCTTGGCAATTTGTCTTTCGAGCCAACAACTCCCTCGGTCTGAAACCCATCGTCCCTCTTTTCGGGCACAGGTGGACCTGGGAGAGGCTTGTTGATCCCCGAGGTCGGCCGGCTGCCTGACTCGCTGACTCCCGAGAGGATACTCTCGCTGAAGCTTGCTCCTCTCCCTGGTCGTGCAGTTGCATCATCCGAACTGCCACCTCGAGAACCTGGAGCGCTGATCATCTGGTAGTCTTTGTCGATGGGACTGCTTGAACTGGAGTCGTCCATTGACTTCTCAGGCTTCGGGCCTGGTTTGCGACCCCAGCCAGCACCCCATCCACTTGTTCGGCGCTTCTCACCAGCCCAGGCTGCCCAACTCCCGATGTAAGCACCTGCACGCGCACCAGCTGATTGCCCTTGCTGTCCGGCTTTTAAAGCATCTTGGCCGGCTGACTGACTAGAACCGTTTGGCGGTGATGCTGCGCGAGCTTCTTCAGCGCGACGCCGTTGTGCTTCACGCAAAGCTTCCATGTCAGCATACAGTTTGTTAAGAACAAAGGACGCCTTTTCACGACCAGCGGCAAGATTCCGACCGAGGACTTCTTTGCCCTGCGCAAAACGCTCGTCCAGATGCAGTTCTTTCACTTGCTCTGCGATACGACGCTGTACATCCTCGATGTTTAAACCTCCTGCACAAGGGTGTCGAGGGTCAACAATGTCGAACAAATGAGAGTCAGTGTTTGCGTTCCACATGCGGTAGTTCTCAGTGCGCTTCCAAGTCTCTACCCACTCATAACCAAAGTCTGCAACGGGATCACCCTCAACCTCGGGAAGGATGGCTTTGGGGTTATTCGGGTTCACGTTAAGATAGTTGTGGTATTTAACGGAGGAGATGAGAGCGAGAATGTACTCTTCGAACTGGAGCCTGATAAAC